TAAATCGATGATTGAATTAGCTCATTGTATTCATATATAGGGTTAAGGAGTGTAGCTGTAAAAAATCATCGAATCAGAGTTAAAATAACCGTTAAATAGTGATTTTTTGTTTATAACCGTCAAAAAAGGGTTTGCGCGACGAAGAAGTAGCCTACGTCGCGCAAATCCTGCTGCCACTGCCTTGACGCGATGGTTGACGCACGATAAAGGTTCGTTGTGCTAATTTTTGCGCGATGTTTTTTGACTTTGCGCGACGAAGGACCTACGTTGCGCAAAATGTTTTTATACTAGTGTGCCGTAAGAGAGAAGCAATATGTTAGGAAGCTTCATAGCTCATTTATTCTCCCTCTATCTTTAGCAACTGCTTGCTATACCATACAAAGCATGCAACAATTTTATGTAGTTATCGGTTTTGTGATAGAAATTCTTTCTATAATTTCTTAGGCTATATATCCAATCACCGGGTTGAATGAAAACATAAAGTAAGAGGAAGTGTGTGAAAGATAAATATGAGTGTGTTAATAACATCATTTTAGAAAATGTTTGATAAACTTTGCTGGATCGATCATCATCTCAAATGTTATAGAATCTTTGTTAATTCAGTTATCTATAAATAATAATATAATAGTATTTAAAAGCACAAAATTGACACACGTTTATATAGAAATTTTATTATCATTAAGGATAGAGAAGCAACTTTTAACGAGCACCCCTAGTACTCAACCATTATACTTTAGTTTATCTAATACAGCAGAAAATGTAATTATTTTGCATTTGTGGCTTGACTACATGTCCAAAACCACTGTTCAGATTTAGCAATGAAACACAGAGAGAAGCAGCTCAATGAATCTGCATGGTCCATCCCATCTTGTCCTCGACCACGCCTGTTTGAATCTCTGTAAGCATTACTCGCAACTTTTGAGAGACTAATTTTTCTCCAGTTCGGTATTCAACCCTGCAAGTACATAATTAATTTTTGGCTATTCAACATAATAATTTATTGTAACTTAATACTATGGTCTAATGATATTTTTATTTATTTGTAAGTGAGAGGCTGAGATCTGAATTTAGTGGATGATAAGTTCGCAACCAATTTATGCCGCCACACAAATGTAAATATATCGTTTGTATATATATATATATATATAAATTAACTAGTTATTAATCGAAATTCAAATGTTATATTATAAAGACTCATTTGGTAATAATGCTTCAATAGAAAACACTTCTTATATGCAATGTTGCTTGAAGTGTTTCTATAAACATTTCAAAATTCTTTTAAAAAATCAACGAGAAAACCACTTGGACATATTTCTTGAAGAAGCACACATAACAAGTACTTTTTTAGAAAACTCTTTTATGAAATCCGCACCTTTTAAACACTATTTATACCTTTTATCATAATGTGTTACACTAGCAACAGCAGTGACACCCACTGCAGTCCCTGTGCAGAACACTTCATCAGCTGTTAGCACATCCATTAGTGGAACATCACGTTCCTCCACCTGAATCAAAATTTTAAAAACAATAAATTAGATATTTTGTATGAGAAATAGTGACTGCAGAATTGCTTTTCATAAATAAAAGATTGTTTACCAGTATTTGTAGAATATTACTAGCCATACAAGGAATAATAGTTGATGAGGAAAGAAAAAGTTGCTTAATTACCTTGTACTTCAGATGAAGAGCAATTTCTATGATGCTTTTTCTTGTGACCCCTGGAAGAATTGTTCCATTGGTTGGTGGTGTTAAAATCACATTATCCTACAACACAAAATGAAATCGAGTTTATCATATCAAATTACAACCATACATATATTATTACGAAAATTCTATTGCCAGACAATTAATGTCGCAATCTGGTTTGTTATGTTGTTGGTGTCTGATCCATCTTAAAAGAAAATTATTTTTCGAATCCGCAATTCGGATTAACTGTTCAGCAAACATGATATATCGAAATGTCTAGCAATATGAACAATGTAACATTTTCTTGATCGGAATGTTTTCCTTATCGCCCTGTGGATGTATAATAATTTCTGTGATCGAATACGTAATTAATTTGTTACCTATGAGGGCTAATGACAATTCTAATCAGTACTACCTTCACAATGAAAACATTGCATGAAGAAACTTCCTCAACATTTTTTCCAGTGGCTGCGTCCAGAAATAAGACATCGGTGAACCCTTTTGCCTTAGCTTTGTTTACTGCTTCAAAAACCTACAGGAAATTGGAGCAAGAAAATCATTCACGAGAAACCCTAAATACATAATACAATAACGACACCTATAAGATCTCAAACATATATATCTTTCCCAAAATCCCAACTCATCGTCCAATCCTTCTTATTATGGAAGTAGGCCAATTTTGCTTACCGGTGAATAATTGGTGATGCTTTTAATGGCTCCGGTTCCACCAGGAGTAGCCCTAGGAACCTCATTCTCAACGTACAAACTCATGCTAGGGCCACACTGTTATTTGAGCAAAATCAACAAGCACTTAGCAAAAGAACAAAAAAATGTGACATTGTAGCTTGTAAGTTGTCGGCACGCAACTTGGCATCATGTTACAGATATTCAAACCTAGTAAGTCTTGGATTCAACTTGCATCAATAAGCACCACAAACAATTCTTAAGAAGGAAGGAAGCCCCCGCCTACCTTGTACCAATTTCCGATGGGAGAGGTGAATATGAGGAATGTGCATTCAGGGGCTGGTCCAATACCCAGAACAGGTCCACTTCCCATAAGCAAAGGCCTAATGTATAATGATCCTTTACCTGGTGGAGGCACCTGCATCAATCCAAAAAAAGCGAATTCATAAACATGATTAATTGACTCAATGTCATAATTATAAACAGGGATTGATGTTAGATATGATTAAATATGACAGATTTTGAGATATTTGAACAAAAGCTGAGAAAAAAATTCATGCAGTTACTTCTGATTTTCTTTGAAGGATGTTATTAGCAATGTTGTCAATAAATATATATTTTCTTACATTTCATCAAATTGTCAGTAAATGACGAATAAACAACTTTTGCTGACTAGGTAAAATTGAAGGTTTCATACCCATCGCTGGTTGGCAAGGACTGTTTTTTTTACAGCATCAACAAATACATCAACTGGTGGGGATGGCATGCAGAGTCTGTCTGCTCCATTTTTCATGCGCAGGGCATTCAGTTCTGGCCTAAATAGTTGAATGCCACCATCTGGCCTTCGATATGCCTTCAGACCTTCAAACAATCCCTAATTAATGATACCACAAACTAATGGTTAATTAGTCGCTCGCAAATCTCTGTCTATTTAGATGTTAATAACATTGGCTTGCGTTGCAAGTAATGATACAAGAAAGATTACCTGCCCATAATTGAAAATTGCAGCAGATGGGCTTATCTCTATGTTTCCATAGCGACTTAGAGATCCTTCTGAGAAGTTATCTTTTCCAGAAATTTTCATGATATATATGTAGTCAGTTGGTGTGAGGCCAAACCCTAGCTTGTCCCAGTTGAAGTTGACATACGCTTCGTCATTATTTCTATTCAAATAAATGCATATACAAAAGAAAAGAAAAGGTAAAAGGTAAGACAATGAATACAAGTCTAAAGTTGAAAGCAAAAAACAGTCAAATTGTTGATTAACTAAGATGAATATTAAGGGGTAATGTAAGTCGCGTGATATGGGGTATGTTCTCTCGTAATTTTTCAAACTGTGAATTTGAAGTCTGGCAAATAACATACCGCGTGTTTGTCAAGAGAACATTACCTCGTGCAAGGTCTCAAAAGTTTCATCATACCATACAACGACGATAAATTATCAAAACCTAAACTTATTTAGTGGAAGAAAATAATCGCATTTATGAGGAAAGGAGATGAAAAATAAACCTAGTATCCATAGGTGGCCTTGATTAATGTACTCTTTGAGAATCTGCAATTAGGGTGAATCACGCAGAACAAGTACTCTTGGAAGAAAAGAAATCAAGTGTTGAAGGTAGTCTAAAACTCTCAAGTTTGCCTAAATATATATATGTAGGGAAGAGGTTGAACCAATAAAAAAAAAGACTCCACAACACAATGACAGCGTAACATGTAAGATGTGATCTGGAAGCTACTTGAAATTACTGGTCATCCCGTTATTTAATTGTTTCTTTTGTTGTTCTTGCTTTGGTGCATTTTACTGTCTTTAAAATTATTTGCTAATAATTTATTTACAAAAATAAACTTTCAATATAAACGTTCCCCTTTTTTTGGGAGGAAGTTAGGCAGGCCACTCACTAGGCCGTTAACAAGAAACAAACTAGACAGCACTGACTTCTCTAAAATTTGAGCAAATACCTGTGGGACTAATTGGGAGCGTTATATAGTCGGTTATTGACCAAAAAAGAAAATGGACAGAAACTTCAGTTGAACGTAGACTTTGGGTTCAAATGACACGCTATTTGTACTCACCTAGAAGTTTGTACACAATTTTGTGAGAGATTTTTTTTTGTTTGAGTACAAGTGAGACACTACCATGAAGGAGAGGATTTGAATTCGGAACGCAATGTGTAAAAGAGGAATGCTTTAAGCATCAGGACAATTCATTGCTTACATTTTTGTGAAAGATTAGTAGTGTTGTCATTTGCGGTGGAAAATACTTCTTAAAACATGAAATTTTCTTACCCCCGAATTACTTGGTGAATTTAAAAACATGAAAATAACTCATTAAATTAACATCGCATTAATGATCACTTGTTTGAATTTACTCCATAATTCAAGTAATATACCTACAAAAAATTGGTTTAATAATGCTCTCTAGGGTTTCTTAGGGTTTCCTAAGGATCGCTAGGGGAGCGACGGCGAGTCTGATTCGGCGGTAGCGTCGTAGTCACGTTGGTTCCTTGGGATTTGTGTTCTTCCGGTTTGTGTCTTATTGGATGTTGGGCCGTTTTGCCCAGTTTATTGGAAACCAGTGTTGGTGGGCTATCAACGGGGGTTGGCGAGTCGTCCAAAGGTTCATGGCTGAAATGGTAGAGAATTTTGCAGCGAGGCTGGCGGTGACCACAGAGGAGCAACGAGTAGTGGTGATTGATGACAAGGAATGGTCTATTCTCAAGATGACTAAGGTCTGGGAAAGTGCTGACTCGTAAGCCAGTTGTCAAGGAGACATTCAAGCGGCGAATAATGATGGAAAATTTAATAATAATATTATTATATTAAATTTATTAATTGAATGAAAATTAGAAGACGAGCTTTTGGTAGAAAGATGTGTCTACTCAAATGAAAAGTTACAACTTTTGACTCTTCATGAATAGTCACATGCTTTCCAAAGAGATATCTTACATCTATAAATAGGGAAACCCCCTATAATCACAAAATAACTTTTCATTGTTTACATAATCATACATAGAGTGCACTAAATATTAGAGAGTCTCATTGAGTACATATGAGAGAGTTTTCCACACAATCGCGGTTCATGGAGCTTTATGATTTGGAGTGTTACTATTACAAGGACTTGGTGGTTGTATCTTGGGAGAAATGCGCCGATCAACCATGAGCACCGTAGTGAGGCATAAACTTGTCTTAAGGACAAAGTTTCCAACACTTGTCTCGATCATATTTTCTGTTAGACAAGTAGAAACGTAGTTGGAATCTATGTATACTTGTAATCCTAGTTATAGTTGTATTCCTAACTTGTAGGGATAATTTCTTGCTGACCAAGTTATATAATTGTATATATTTGTGTTTCACGTATCAATGAAATACACTTCAAACCCATATATCTTTTTCTACATGGTATACAGAGCAGGTTTCAAAACCTAACCTTTATTTATTTATTTTTTTTTCGGCAGCCTTCTTCTACCATTCTTGTTCTTCCTTCATGGGAGACAATGATCACAATCACGCTTTTTTTGTCCACCATTCTGATCACCCTAATCTTGTTCTTGTCTCCAGAAAGTTAAATGGAGATAATGATACCACCTGGGCACGTGGAATACATATTTCTTTAAGCGCCAAGAACAAACTTGGCTTCATTATTGGCGACATTGAAGAACCATCATCCTCCGAGGATCCTGATATGCACGCAGCTTGGTGCCGCTGCAATGATACGATTCTTTCTTGGCTTTTTCACTCTTTGGAGCCAGAGCTTGTCGAGTCCGTTCTCTTATCCACCACTACCAAAGCCGTCTGGGACGACCTTCGCGAACGGTTCTTTCAAAGCAACATTCCCCGCATATTCCAACTCAACCGTGAACTCGCCACCATCTCCCAAGGTACTTCATCTGTCTCTGCCTATTTCACTCATCTCAAAGGTCTTTGGGATGAACTTGCCTCATATAACGAACATCGCACCTGTTCTTATGGTGCTAAGAATGATCGGCAACAACTTATGCAATTTCTCATGTGACTCAATGAGTCATTCTCTGCTATTCGGGACCAAATCCTTTTGATGAACCTTCTACCCATTGTTCGCCAAGCTTGTTCCTCAGTCTCTAAGGCAGAAAAACAGCGCTCATTGGGCTCCCTCTATTATGCAAATCAACTTGCTGCTATGGTGGTCCGTGGCTCCTCCTCTCGTACATCCTTCGACCGTCCCCTTCTTCATTGCACCTATTGCAACTATGACTTTCACACCCGGGAAAATTGTCATAAACTCCATGGCTACCCTGTTGGTCATCCCCTTCATGGGCAACCGTGGCGGCCACCCCGTTGCTCATCCACATCCCTTGTAATAGCCGGTTCTTCATGGGCACTGTGTGCAGCAGCAACACTAAAGGCACTTGTCCCACCACCAGTCTCTAGGCCCACCCTCCCACCGTCCCTCCCTCAGCCCATCACGTGCACGGCCCACCTACCTTGAAGGATGTCCAAGTTGCAATGCCGTACCTCTCTATGGAAGAACACTCCCATGTCCTTGCTGCCCTCACTAATGTTGCAGACCCTTAATCGTCTCCTCAGGCTCATGCCATTTTTAATAATGACTTTGCCAAAGGTTTGTTACCTGTAACTTCTCGTCTTGGTCAATGGATCCTTGATAGCGGAGCTACTGATCATATTATTTCTTCAGCTTCATGTTTGGTTAATACTTCAACTTCGCACTTGCCACCTGTTTCTTTGCCTAGTGGTGTTACTGCTCCAATTACTTTAACTGGCACTCTTCGTTTAAATTCCTCCGTTCATTTAAAAGATGTTTTTTGTGTCCCTAATTTTAAAGTGGACCTTTCCCATCCACCAATTCCTGACACCACCTCACCTTCACCTATTGCCACTTCACATGCACACTATCCCACTCCCACCCTCTTGGCCCCACCTGCTCCCTCACCCACCTCCACTTCCACAATCCCTTCTCATGTTATTACATCCCCTCTCCACCCTCCCACTACTACCCTCTTTGCTCCATTTACCGACATCACCCAGATTCCCACCCCTAGTCACGGACCCCCCTATTTCGCACCCCACGCATCCTCTTAAACTTCCCCCAACCCAACGCACTTCTTCCTGTACCCACAAAACCCCCTCATATTTAAAAGACTACATTTGCTCGCAGGTGATTTTGCAACCACACCAATCCTCAACTTCACAGCCTGGTTATGCAAAAGGTACGCGATATCCTCTTTGTAATTTTCTCTCTTACCACCGTTACTCTCCCAAACATCTTTCATATATTAATTCTGTCAGTCGGAATGTGAAGCTATCATCCTATGCCGAGGCTGCTAGTGACCCCAATTGGCGTCGTACCATGACTGAAGAGCTTACAACTTTACATGACAATGGTAATTGGACTTTGACTACCTTGCCCCCTGGAAAAATTCCCATTGATTGTAAATGGGTGTATAAGCTGAAGTATAATCTTGATGGTTCCATTGAGTGTTATACAGCTCGCTTGGTTGCTAAAGGTTACACATACTCTGAAGGTATTGATTATCATGACACTTTTTCTCCCACTGCTAAGATGATTACAGTGCGTTGTCTACTTGCTCTTGCTGCTAGTCAGTCTTAGTCTCTTCACCAGCTTGATGTTCATAATGCTTTTTTGCATGGTGACTTGCATGAGGAAATTTATATGTCTGTTCCTCCTGGTCTTGGGTGGTAGGGGGAGAATCTTGTGTGTCGCCTCCACAAGTCTCTTTATGGTCTCAAGCAGGCTTTTCGCCAATGGTTTGCCAAATTCACCATTGCCATTCTTTCCGCTGGCTTTTAACAATCCAACGCTGACTATTCATTGTTCACTAAAAAGTCTGGTACTTCTTTTACAGCCTTGCTTATTTATGTGGATGATATTGTGATTACAGGCAACGATGTTTGTGGTATTGATTCTCTGAAGTCTTTTCTCCGTGATCATTTTCGGATTAAAGACCTTGGTGATTTAAAATATTTTTTGGGCATTGAGGTTTCTCGTTCCAAAGAAGGGATTTATATTTCACAGCACAAGTATGCATTAGAGATTCTCAAGGATCATGGTTTTTTGGGAGCACGACCCATTACTTTCCCTATGGACGACACAAAATTATCTGATAAGGGAGAACTTCTCAAGGATCCTGAAAAGTATCGCCGATTAGTAAGACGGTTGATCTATCCTATAACTCGGCCTAATATCACCTATTCTGTGCATGTTCTGAGTCGTTTTATGCATGAGCCAATGATACCTCATATGGATGCTACGCTTCATATTGTTCGTTATTTGAAGGCTACTCCAGGTCAAGGCTACTCCAGGTCAAGGCTTATTATTCCGTTCTGAAAACCAGACCAAGTTAACTGCATTTTGTGACTCTGATTGGGCAGGATGTCCTATCACTTGCTGTTCGACTATTGGGTATTGTGTATTCTTAGGCAATTCTTTGGTTTCGTGGCGAACAAAATGGCAGAAAACTGTTTCGCTTTCTTCAGCAGAAGCAAGATATAGGGCTATGGCAGGTGCTTGTTATGAGTTAATTTGGCTTCGGTTTCTATTGAAAAACTTGAACATTCCTTTCGATGGTCCTTTCGTTTTATTTTGTGATAATCAAGCAGCATTACATATAGCAGCTAATCCTGTTTTTCATGAGAAGACTCGTCACATTCAGATAGATTGTCACTTTATACGAGATAAGATTGCAGAACCAAGTATGTTGGTACGACACACCAGTTGGCGGATTTGTTCACCAAGCCTCTCGGGAAAGACAAGTTTTCGAGTATGTTACGCAAGTTGGGAGTTCTTGACATCCACTCTCCAACTTGAGGGGGAGTGTTAGACAAGTAGAAACGTAGTTTGAATCTATGTATACTAGTAATCCTAGTTATAGTTGTATTCCTAACTTGTAGGGATAATTTCTTGCTAACCAAGTTATGTAATTGTATATATTTGTGTTTCACATATCAATGAAATACACTTCAAACCCATATATCTTTTTCAACATTTTCTACGTTTTTCTAATCCATTATATAATGTTTATTTAACATTGGTTACTCATGTGCATGCATTATTGTGATATATAATTGCATGAATTATTTCTTAATTTTCTATGTGATTTAATTAGACCCTATTTATTCCAACAATCTTAAGACAAGCTTATGGTTTGATTGCTATGTTTGTTTGAGAACAATATTCTATCGTGTATGTTTCTGCTTGGATTTTCTTTTTCATGGTAGAATGTTCTGGTTTCTAGTTTTGCATAAAACAATACCTATGTTAACTGTTTCCAAATATATTGCAAATTAATGTGATTCAAAAGATGCCATCTCGTAATCTTTCATCATTATTTTGTTCGTTTGTATATAGTTAATTGAACCAAATATTCTTTACAAGTTTATTGGTTTATTGCTATTATAATTTGGCTTGTGGGTTTTAATTTTCTGGACAACATTGGTCATGCACTGCTTTGAAATCTATTGTGATTTTCTCTTGTTGGGTGAGTAATGATGGCACAGAAAAGTTATACTAATATATATACCTGCATATATGCATTTTATTTTCTGACATTACACTAATTAAATTCATGTATTTGTTGATAATGAGTTCGTTAATTTCAATTCTCTGAAATATGCATGCAAAAGGATAAAGGTTTTGTTTCACAACTTTTGTTCTAGTAGTCTCAAGTGTGTAAGGGTTTTAAGATTGGTATGTAGGGAAAACTTATCTTCTGAAAGGATGCGTTTTTTAGACTGGGTAGATTTACCATGCATTTCGCATAACATACTTATCTTTGGCACTGAATATTAGGTTAAATGTTATGTGCTACCGTTGGTATGACTGCATTTACAATAAAGGCCTTTTATTCATGTATGTTGTTTGATCTCGGACATTGCTTTGAGATTTATACATATGCTGTTATTACATTTCGCTGTTTGAATGGTTGTACTTCTATTTTCCTTCTCACTTTCGGTTCGAAATTTTATTTTAACTTGTTATGTACATCGGTTACATTGCAATGAAAGGTTGGCTGCCAACCCAGTGGGTAATCACTGAATGTTGTCATTTCCTCATGAACTAGTATAAAGATAGTGTAGCGATGAGGATGTGATCCTTCGGGTTTTCGTTGCTTTACAAATTATTGTGATTTAAGAACAAAACCTTTCTTGTTTTAAACATGAACAAACATGACTATCCAAAGGTCAGTGTGATATATGATATGTCATTGCGAAGTGAGTTTTCCCTGACTCATGATTATTCATAAAGCAATCAATTTGACATTCTATTGTGACAATAAAAGTGACGTTTTAAGTCAAAACATTTGGTCTTTGGAAAGGAAAAGACCAGACATTAAAACGTGGGATATTTGAAAAAAAAAATGTATTAGACATGATGATGCTTATGAAGTAAGCATATGAATGGTCATGCATGTTACTAACAAGGAAAGGATAAAAGCCAAGAAGTGTTTTTCCCATAATGGCTAGTGAGGCATGAAGGCCTAAGAAGCTAGATATATAAGGTCTATCTTAGTTGTTTCCTACTTCTTAAAAGAAAAAAAAAAGGTGATCGATTTAACGATGACGTTAAAATTAACCACAATTATCGAAGAATTGTTGGGGGGGGGGGTAGCTTATCTATTTTTGAGATATGAAATTTATTTAAGAAGAATGAAAATATAATTTGCTAATTGAATATGACAATAAAAATGTCATCTTTTGTAATGAGTAATTATTTAAGGTATGGCAAGGTTGGGGACCTTCTTATAAATATCTTAAATGTGGGGGAGTTTACTCAAGTGTTAGCAAATTACTTATCAAGTTCGAACACATGTTTGGAGTAATTACATTGGAAAACAACTACTCTCAAAGGAAATAATTTCCATGCATGGATATAATGTTTGTGATGGCCATATAATGAGTAGTCAACCTAGTGGTACCAATTTTTAAAGGTTTGACTAGAGAGTAAGTTGTATCATCGAGGGGAATGGGTTAAAAGCCTACATCTTAACAATCACCATA